GGGGGGGGGGGGGGGGCGTGGCACTGGAGGAAGCTGTGGTGGGAGTGAGGCTGAGACTCTCCTTGAAAAGGGAAAATATAATTTAATAAAAAAGTTAACCTTAATATTCAACACTTGATCATTTAAATAATATCTCAGCAGTTAAATACTAAGGTTGATAAACTAAATCAATTTTTCCAATTAATTTAAACAATTTAATATAAACAGTTACCATAGTAACGATGCTAGTCATCTCATCCTTCAGTCTGGTCTTGACAGTGGTTTTGTTGTCCTCGCTGACATAGTCCAGTTTGAACCTTGGATCCAAACTTGTAGCTATGTCGAGCAGCGCCTGTGTCTTTGGATCACTGTACTTCTCCTGAAGGTACTGCAGGATGGTTGTTTTAATCGAGCGAGCGAGTGCAGGGTCGTCTTCCTTCACTGCCATCAGTGATTCGAAGAGGTGGAGGACTGGCTTCACAGAGGAGACAGACACATATTGCTCCCCTGAGAGCGCATCTGTGAATTCTGCCAGTGGTGTTAGTGTCTTGTCAATCACCTCAAGAACCTGTATGTCTTGCCATGTCAGAATGTTAGCGAACTTGCTCCGGTCAGTGTTCCGGGCGAGAACTCGTGTAATGGCCTCTTGTTGTCCAAGGACCCTGTTGACCATAGCTAGACGGGTTTAGCACTCCGTTTTGAGCTTGTGGTCAGGTAGATTGAGGAGAGAGAGAGAGAACTTTGCTGTAAAAACATGACCAAAAAAAATGGTTTAAAATGGTAAAAAAAATATATATACATATAACAGTAATTCATTAAGGCATAGCTAAAAAGTAATGCACAGTAAAATCCTCACTATAGGGCATAGCAGTGGCAGCCATGTTCTGGTTCCATCATTCCAGACCCCATTAATTTTTCCCATAGATATTTCCAAAAATAAAATATTTACCGGTATATCAATTAATTTAAGCCTAGAATCAAGCCATCAAGGATACTGGTGAATCATGACCATAAAACATTTTATTCTATGAAAAATGAATGAATATTTAATTATATGATATTCTACATTTAATAAATACCCTTTGTTTTGCGGTTTTAACTTCTTTTTTTTCCCACAATATCAAACGTTTTATGGTCATGAATCACCAGTATCCTGGATGGCTTGATTCTAGGCTTAAAATAATTTATATAAATATTTTTGGAAATCTCTAAGGGAAAAATGTATGGGGTCTGGAAAGATGGAATAAAAAAAATGGCCTATTCATTTAAGCCTGAGTATAAATATGTACCCAAATTGCGGGGGGTACTATAATATTTAGACTATACATTACAATTTAAAATGGTGGTAATTAGTTAAATAAAATAAGAATATTTTTTTTAAATACATAAACATGTTCAGTACAATATTGACAGTTAATTTAACTACACTCTCAGACTTAAATGAACAGAGGACTTTACTGTGGGATGGATTGTACTCAGCTCACCTATAGCCAGATGTAGCCTGTGGCCAAAACACTGGAGCCTTGTCCATTTGTTTATGTCGGATGCTTTTATGATGTTTGATCCACTATCTGTAGTGATGCACACCATCCTTTTCGGATCCAAGCTCCAGGAGTGGAGACTTTCCATTAGTCCCACTGCAATTTCGTCGCCCGTGTGGTCCACGGGGAAAAAAGCTGTCTTTAGGCACCGACTTTTCATGGTGAAATCACTGGTGATGAAATGCACCGTCAGGCTCATATATGGTTCCATGGTACGACTGGACCACAGGTCAGTTGTTGTCGCAAAGTGCTGGACATCTTTCAGTTCTGTCTCGACTGTGGTTAGAATCTTGTAGTACATGGCAGGCAATGCAGTACGTGAAAAGTAGTTGCGGGAAGGCACTGAGTACCGCTTATCCAGCGTCTTCATCAAGTTCTTGAACCCTTCATTTTGAACTGTATTTATTGATGCCATATCCTTAGCCAAGTAAAAAGTGATGGCTTTCGTTATCTCTTTGTGCCTTCGTGAGCTGTGTGAATATGGTGTTCCGTTGAATAACGTTTGGCTTATGGATGTTTGCGTCGTTGTCTGGGGGTTTGATTTTTTTTTCGGGTTGTCCTTCTTTGCTAAAGCATACTGTATTTTATGGTGACGTTGCAGGTGATTTAATAGGTTTGTGGTGTTACCTGACGTCGTTGCGACCATGCGAGAACAATGCTTACAGTGGACGACTTTTTGTAAGTCATCATCAGGATCAAATCCAAAAAAGTTCCACACACTGGATGAATGTGGTCCTTTTTTCGGCACAAGCACAACTTCCCTCTCACTCTCGCCAGAGTCGCCACCGGGATTTTGATCGGTGTTGTTGTCATTGTCCTCGACCTCCTCGTCACTCATTTCTGTGTCACTCATTTCTGTTTTTCTTGTACTACTCAGAGCTCTCAAGTCTCACGCATTTGGCATGAGACACACGCATTTCACTCCATTCACACGCTCACGCGCCACACCTTGTATTTCTCACGCAGAGATCTCTTTCCAGGGTACCGCCCACCAAGTTGCGCCGCAATTTTGTAAACAAACTAGGCTTGTTTGAGACGCGTGCACTCCACTAGCACCCGTTGACATTCGCGATACAGAGGGCTTCATACTCCACTAGCACCCCCCCCCCCCCGTTGACATTCGCGATACCAAAATCTCACTCTGAACTCTGTTCAAAACTTGAGAGCCCTGACTACTAGTTGCTCTCGTCACTCTTTGCTAATCAGTGCTAATGCTAACGCTTCTGTAAACATACTGCCGGCTCCTGCCCTCACGTGCTGCAGTCAGTGAGTTTTGCCAGTTATACTTATTATAAGCCACATTGGGCTTATCTTTCTGTAAAGTTGCTTGGTAGTAAGTAATAATGGTTGTTGCGGTTGTGAGCTTGTAGATAGGTTATTTTCAAATAGCCGACCCGACATATAGGTTTAAAGTGCTCATGTTCTTTTGCGCTTGTTTTCATAGACCTGGTTGCTTATTCCTTCCGCAAAAACTGGCAACACTAGTGGCTGCAGCGTTAACACTGCATGAGAGGAGGAGAGACAGACAGAACACTACCATTTGCATGCGATCATGGTACTTTAATGTTAAATCTATAGAGTATATTTGCTTTACATCGTTTAAGTATGATTGACATTGCAAGTTGGTATTATTCAGAAGCAAAATAATAATAAAAAAAAAAAAAAAAAAAATCAGCATGACGTCATAGAATCGCCGTAATTTAGAAATGAGATCGCATAGGTGTCTGAATCGAGATCACGATCTTTTTTCGATTAATCGCGCAGCACTACTATGGCGCCACTGGTGCGAACTGGTTGCACCTGATGGCGCCCTGAAAAAAAGATGCTTGGGAGCATGTCTCCGGCCCATATGGGTGCAGCCCAGTTCGATAAACATGTCAACCTGCATGGTAAGGAACAAAAACCCCACGGATTCCAAGTTGGTAACATGCGTTCATGGGACAGGAATATGAATATGATACAAATAGAAGAGAGGAAGAGAAATTAGTTCATTGTAACATAAGAATAGTATTAACCCCCTCTTAAAAATAATCATGGTTTTGTGTTTGAAGTCCCGTCCAGCCCCCAACGATTTTGTAATGTGGATAAAGCTGCCAATAAGGGAGTTAACCTACTGCTTTCTGTTTGTACCATGAAGCATCCCTCTCAAGCACAGAAGAGGATGGCAGCATTTTAGCCTCCGTAACTGCAGAGAATGCACCTTCAGACCATGCAACGCAGAGTGAAGAACACCTGGATGATAATGTGGAAAGGTAAGTACGTCAAATGACAGGCCAAGGCAAAACCGAGTTCCTTTACTTGGCGGCATAATTGATGGACAGAAAACGGAGAATAGAGATCTTCATTATAGAAATATCTGCAACCTTTCACTAGAAGGGAGTCTACTATATGCCCAGAGTTAATTCACCATAACATTAGTAACTCCAAATATGTATGTCATAACATATCATTTGAATTTCTTAATAAATAATATACAAAACAAGTTTATAGATCATGCATTTATAAGGACATGCAGAGTAAAGATAGAGAGACATTGACCTGGTAAAATCCCTTGACACTTAGGCCATTGCCAAAATAGGCAAATACGAGCAGTACATTTCAACAAAATTTGTTTTTGCGAGTTCACCTCTGACCGATGACTTCACGTGGCTACTTTAATTGTGTTCTCTGGGCTGAACCCGCAGCACACTGCTGCTACACTGCTGCTACACTGCAGACCAGAAGTACCAGTTGTATCTGTTCTATAGTCGGGGATCATTTCTCCCAGGGATGTGAACAGAAGTCAGCAAGTCTCTCATCATATTATCATATATTCATACATTTTATTAAACTATTATATTTAAACTTTAGGTAGCGCTTCTGTTCTTTGGAGTCCAGACTTGTAAGAGTCAGTTAAAGATGCCGGTTGATTTGGGCACAACTGATAAACAGAGATTTGTGTTATCCAGTCTATTGCTTGAAAAAATGATTTTCCAAAACAAATAGCATGCGCACCCGCACGTCCCATCCATAGCTCTAAACATGCTGTGAAGTGCTGGAATTTACTATAACTCACACAGTGACATTTGTTCTCTCCGTTTAAGCCATCCTAGTACTAGGAGCAGTGGGCTATTGTACAGAGCCCGGTGAGCAATGGGGAGTGGGGGGGTTGTCCGGTGCCTTGCTCAAGGGCACCACGGCAGGGCCCAGGAGGTGAACTGGGACCTCTCCAAGTACCAGTCCACACTCCATATTTAGGTCTGTTCGGGCACTTGAACCAGCGACCCTACGGCTCACATTCCAATTCCCTACGGACTGAGCCACTGCTGGACAGTGTAGCTGTAAACAAGTATATTTACTAATGTATAGATGATAGTTAAAAAGAAAAATCTAAAAGCTGTAAACAAAAAATTAACATTAGCTTCACAAAGGAGATATTTTCCTGAAAGCTTATATTTTACTCAAATGAAAGTTTTCAATAAATTGAATTGTCCGAATCCAATCGTTTTCAACTCATAATAGTTACATCCTCATATATGTAACCTGAAATGTAACCAACCATCAGTCTCGTCAACAAGCCAAAAATCTTTTAACTGCTTGCATTGTAATGAATTTTAACAGAAAGGACTCAATGCCATGCACTGTCATGTCATATTTTACTTTATATTGTCCTGTCAGGTTAACCAAGAAACTGGAAGAGAGACGAGAGAACACAAAGAGAGGAGAAGAAGAGGTAAGGAGAATAGCCTGTTAAGATCTCTATATAATGCATTTCTTTCATGTGTCATGTACCTTTAATAAATGAAATATGAATAATATGTGTAGTTGGCCACACATTAGATTTGTCTTAAAGCTGAAAGAGTGCTCATTTGTTTTCCTCAATTTTCCAAGTTAAGCTAACTGGAAATGTAGCATCAAAGTTCTCGTGCTTCATCATAGTGTCAACCGTTTTTTTAAATGTATTTTAGTAAAATAAACTTTCCTTTTTTATGTTAACAGACCAGTGGGATATGCAGCTACATTTATCACAGTCCATGTAACATCTGACATCATAGCAGTACTCTGAATAAAAAACCAAAACAACTGTCTTTTTTAGAATCATTTAAATTCCGAAATGACACAATATTAATAATAGATATTTCTCTAACCCCAATTCTGCTGCTTTCACTATACTGCTCACATGCAAGAAATTATTTGCAAAAGAATGGCGGTTAAAGTATTTCCCACATTCTTTTATTGAACAAGTATAGCATAAACTGAAAACAAAAAGCACCTATAAAAAAAGAAGAAAATAACGGTACCTACATTTGAAAAATACCAGTTTTTCCACTGATACTCTCTTTTAACTACAAACACCCCTGATCATTTTCACTTTGTTCTTTGTTCTATGTTACAACTGAACTGCTAATTTCGTCTCTGCTCCAATCACTCAAAGTCCATCCACAATGGCTCTCCCTCTTGCTCAACCACACACTCCCTAAGCAAACTGCACTGTGTGCATAGCAAGATGTTTCCCAAAGAATCAACTTTTTAAAAAACAGCAACTTTGCTTCAGGTTTGTGCACATCTGGAGACAAACATGAGGATGGCAAAGTGCTCATTATCATTGCCTTACTGACTGAGTGTCTACATAACGAGTTAATTTGACTACATAATCATTATAGCTATGACTACGCCCCTAACCTACTTGTGTGTTCCCTGGGATTCAGAATGAGATTAAGAAGGAAATGGAACGGCGGAAGATGGGGAAAGACGTGCTGGACTTAAAGAGGCAACAGGAAGAGGAGAAGACCAAGCGACTCCTGAAGGAAAGGAACAGGGAAAAGGCTGAGGGGAAGGCAGCCAGGGAGCGGGTCAGACAGCAGATTGCCTTGGTAAGTTTATCTTTCTTTCTCTTCTCTTCCAAGATGACATCACAGTTTGCAGAATTAAATTGAGAAATGAAAACCAGTTATCAAGGTTCAATATGGCATATAAGAAATGACATTCTAAGATCCTGCTTTGTAAACCAGAGTGGACAGTACTGGAAGCCACTATGTTCTTCTCAAGCTCTATTCGCGACCACAAAAAAACACACATATATAAAGTCAGACTAACCAGGCATACTGTTTATTTTTTACCTAATTTTGCTATTATTGACTGTTTTGAAGAGCAGCCCACTGCGTCAGTCAGGGTTTTGTCTAAACCAGGTAACAGGGGCGCTGCGCCCTCTTACTCTCGGCGTACAGATTTTCCCCATAAAATGTTAAAGTGACGCCAGAAAACTTTTTTCTGTTCCTCAAAAACGGTGTAATTACTCCAAAAATATGAAAATGGTGTCAAATAGAACGTCAGACGGCAGAGACAGCTTTGATTTTACGGAGCTCTGACGTCACGTTGTTGTTTACGTCCGTGGCGCCATCTTGTATACCTTTGTCATGTTCTCGCCAGAATTAATATATCTTATATACAAGATCAGCGCTACAGTATTGCCCTCATACTAAATTTTTCTAGAAAAACCCCTGAGCGTCAGACGTTTTTTCCCGTTTTCTTTTTGTTTGTTTTTTATAGCAGCTATCCAGTGTATTCAATACAAAAAACATTCACTTATGGTTTCAGGTTCACGTTATTTATTTGTATCAATTGGCAGATTTGATTTGCAGGTAAAAGACAAAAGACACATCTCCAAAAAGTACCCCCTGCTCCATCACATCTAAAAATAATTAAAACATTTATGGGGATGGGGATATGCATCAGCTGCTTGTTTGACAGTCAGACCGTGAGTTACTGCTTTCCAGCGTGCGGTGCAAGTAAACTGTAGGCTAAACGCCGGTGCAGCGTTTTGTAAGAATTAAATTAAATTTGGGAGCCAGACAGAGGAGTATTTTATATATTTATCCATCAAAATGTTTAAGGTTAATACAAAGGAACAGAGGGAGAGCGCGGGGGAGCAAACAAATAAAAAATCCAATAATAAATACATTTTCAATATATTTTTAACACAAATGATAATCAAAACATCAAACTAATAAATCATATCACAGACCCATGTCCCATGCTGGCAGGTTATTTTCTCTCTCATAACAATATTTTATTGTTGGAAACAATGCACACATACGGTTACATTCCAGCTATGTCCACTCTGCAGGACCGAGCTGACAGAGCAGCCCGCTATGCCAAAACCCAGGAGGAGGAGAAGAGCACCAAGCAGAGCCTCCTGCAGGCCCAGCAGGCAGAGCAGGATGCCAGGAAGGAGGCCTTCGTCAGGGAGAGGAGGTAAAGAGATGGAGACAAACCACAAACTTTAAACCTTGTCACAGCACAAATTGACCCAGAACAGTTTATCATCCTAAAGTGACCATATAACACAACTAAAAACAACACTTTTAATGCCTTTTTCCCATATTATTGTTGTTTTT